CTCTTAATAAGAGTTGTACTTGAAACATCCTCTTGGGTTTTTATATAGAAATATAAAAATAATTCCCAAGGGGGGGGATATAGAGTAAGGGCCCGTGCAACTACCCTTAGAAACACTGCTACTACAGATGCCCGGGAATGCCTGGGGGTCATAAGCTCAAGCCCGCAGCCGGCTTGAGCAGAAGACCTCCCTAAACGACCCTAAACCCTAAACCCTAAACCCTACACCCTAAACCCTACACCCTACACCCTAAACCCTAAACCCTAAACCCTAAACCCTAAACCCCCGACCCTAAACCCCAAACCCCAACCTTTCCCCCCTGAATCATTGAACGCCCCCACAACAAAACCCTGGAGATTCCCTCCAACTTACCCCACCCAAGAGCCCCAAACCCTAAACCCTAAACCCCCAACCCGAAACCCTAAACCCTAAACTCTAAACCCTACACCCTACACCCTAAACCCTAAACCCTAAACCCTACACCCTAAACCGCCTGAACCCTAAACCCTAAACCCCCTGAACCCTAGACCCTAAGAACCCCCAAACGTCCTCACGCTGTCCAGCGAGGCGTTCTTGTGGATCGTCCCCAGCACCAAGGAGTCCCATAAGGCCACAAGGCCTGCCCACATGTCGGGTTTAGGGTTTTGGGGGAATAGGGTTTAGGGGTTTAGGGGTTTAGGGGTTTAGGGGTTTAGGGGTTTAGGGGTTTAAGGGTTTAGGGGTTTAGGGGTTTAAGGGTTTAAGGGTTTAGGGGTTTAGGGGTTTAAGGGTTTAGGGGTTTAGGGGTTTGAGGGTTTAGGGGTTTAGGGGTTTAGGGTTTAGGGTTTAGGGTTAGGGGTGTAGGGGAACAGGGTTGCAGGTTTAGGGGAGTGGGGCTTCGGGTTTAGGGCTTAGGGGGTAGTTGTTCAAAACATGGTATGCAAAGGGTTTAGGGTTTAGGGTTTAGGGTTTAGGGTTTAGGGTTTAGGGTTTAATGCCCTTCAACCCTTCAGCTTGCAGACTCGCAGGTTCCAGTGGTGTCAGAGCACCCCTCCTACTTCGGAGGGGCAGCACGCCCGCAACCACAAACACAAAAGAAGGCTGGCTACTGTTGGGGCGAGGCTGCCAAAGCCTAAGCCCTGAACCCCTCAACCCTACACCCTGAACCCTATTCCCCCAAACCCTAAACCCTATTCCCCCAAACCCTAAACCCTACACCCCTGTGCTACTGACGAACTCGGTGGATGAAGTAGTCAGGGGATGGGTGGGATGGGCTTCATGACTTTGGGGCCCCTGGTTCCGTTTTGGAGGGCTTGGCCTAAACAACGGGCACTTGGTTGGTCCTAGAAGTTGCTAACATGATTAGGGCTCAGGGGTTAGGGTTTCGGGTGTAGCTCCTCCCCTCCCCGCCTCCCACACCCGAAGCTGGACCCACAATTTGTGCTCGCCATTGCTTTGGGGGCTTTTGGGGCTGCACCCAAAGCCCTGAAACCTACGCCTGACAATCCGAAACCCTAAGCCCTCAACGCTAAACCCTAAACCCGAAACCCTACACCCTAAACCCTAAACACTAAACCGTAAACCCTAAACCCGAAACCCCAAATCCGAAACCCTAAATCCTAAACCCTAAACCCTAAACCCGAAACCCTAAACCCTAAACCCTAAACCCTAAACCCACAGCCGTCAAAACCTTAAAGGCCTACAGTCGAAACACAGTCCTCCCAAAGATTTGCCGACAAAGGCCCAGCTCCCTAGGCCCAACCCTTGAAAAAGGTTGGGTCCATCATCGTATGGGGCTCCCAAAAACCCTACAAACCCCTAAAGCCGGAAAACCCTGCAAAACCCCCAAGCCCTGAAGCCCCAGCCTTAAAAAACCCTAAAGCCCTCTAAGCCGCAAAAACTCCTGAGGGTGAGGGACCCTAAACCCTAAAAGCCTAAAAGCCCTGAAGCCCTGAAGCCCTAAACCCTAAACCCCAAACCCCAAACCCTAAACCCTAAACCCTAAACCCTAAACCGAAAAAAACCCTAAAGCCCTCTAAACCGCTAGGACTCCTGAGGGTGAGAGGCACGGGTGCTTGCCTGGGTTGGTGCCATGTGCGGACTCCAAGTGCACGAAGCCCTGTGCAGGGTTTAGGGTTTAGGGTTTAGGGTTTAGGGTTTAGGGTTTAGGGTTTAGGGTTTAGGGTTTAGGGTTTAGGGTTTAGGGTTTAGGGTTTAGGATGTAGGGTGTAGGGTTTAGGGTTTAGGGTTTAGCGTTTAGGGTTTAGGGGCTGCAGTCAGGACGTGTTTCGGGTTTCGTGTGTAGGGAGGGAGGTTGGAGAGTTATGTGGGGTACTTGAGGGAATCGAGTTAAAGGTTTGGGAAGATGTTTCAGAAACCCTAAACCCTAAGCCCTAAGCCATAACTGAAAAAGGCCCCGGGACATTGCCCGACATTAACGCCAAGGCCATCACGTCTCAGAACCCGCCCTTTATTCAAGCCCTTGTTCTCGTTGCCCTCAGCAGAGATGCATTGCCCTAAG